GTTTCTTTGCCTTACAACAGCGGAAACACAACTTACATATCATCACATTCTGTAAAAGAAACATCACTAAACAATAATCTTTTTCCTCTATATTTCTTCACATGTTCATCCACAGATTCATGTTCAGCACCTCATAATATAATTTAATTTCTTTGTTTATATCCTTAACATGGGCAATTGCCACAACAGTCATTAAACTACCAATTGCACACCCATTGTATTAACTGGTATCAATGCATATGCATATGCTCCACAAAACATAAACCAACCTCTAGGTAAATACATACAACACATGTGTCATTCCACCTATGTCTTCAACCTCCATACAATAAAAAAACCTCTTCAGTAGGCAAATAAGTATAAATTGTTTTGTCATCTGGATGTTTATACTTAATACAATCATAAGCTGAAAAATTGTCAGCTTTTTCTGATTAGTCCATTTTGTTGGCTTCACAGGAAATCCAAATAAAGTAATCACCTTCGACAAATTATACAAAACATAAGCATCAGGATATATAATAATCTTAAACTCTGCCATCAAAAAAAAAAAAAAAATCTTCCTAACACTGGAACTTCTATAAAATAGACATGATGTCTGTAACTGTAGTCTTTCACACAAAAAGAAAAACTATTGAAAGCTACTCTCATTAATTCCAGAAAAACATTTTCACTTTACACAATCAGCTCTTTTCCTTCAGTATCTTACACCTTTATGTAAAACTCGTGGTACTTCAAAACATCTAACTGTATATCTACCTATCCAGTTAAATGAACGTTTTGCAATAGCTAAACTGTCACACAAAAACATCAACTTCATTAGAGTACTTCTTAATTCAATGAATGGCATAAACAATCCCTTCTCCAAATCTCATCTAGGAAGGAGAATAATTGCCATACATGTCAAAACAACAATCATATAGTTGTTCCATCCTCTTAGATAAGTCTTTATGTCTATGTGCGGTTACATACTGGATATTTTCTCAAATATAAATCATCATCTAAGGTGGATCTTATAGAGATACCAACCTCAGCCATAGGTTTCATCAATGTCAATGATATCTGTCCATATTCTGTACTGTCGGGTTCAGTTTGGAAACATAACCATTGCCACGTTAATGGATAACCAGGCAATACCTCAGAAGCCTCCATTCCTAACCCACATAAGACAATCACTATCCACATCATATTCCCAAATGGACTAGGGCCCCACCCACCTTAACATATGTAGCTTTACACTTGAAAACTTACAACCGGTTTTGGGGACTTATATCCACTTCTTTATCTTCTTCTGCAATCAGAGGACACAATACCTGTATACACCAATCTATTATTTAATGTCTTAAAATAATCAACAATACAAGGGAAACATGTATTACATTCAACCAAATAATCAACAATACATCTCATAGTTCCACAAACCTAAGCTAAACGAGACATGTAATTATCTATCCCCACCATCTAAAAGAAATAGAAAATAAAAAGTCCAGTCCTTCCGAAGCTTGCTTCCACTGGAAACAGGAACCGAATCCACAAATCTCTACGCACACAAATGATTTGTCCAACCTCAACTCACATGTCCATACAGCAGACTCAATAGTCAACAGTACTTGTAATGGTCCTCCCAGATAGGCCTCAGCTTCCCCCAAGCTCTCCACTGCTTTATCAGGACCCAGACTCCACTCTTAAAATCATGCACTTGGAAATCAAATGGTGGTGTTTGCACCAAAAGTCCTTCAGACCCCAAAAGAGAAAAACACTGGGACAGTCCCTGTATATATTTTCTAAAATATATATATATCTTCAAGTACAATTCTAGACATACCCACACTTCCATTATAAGGTATTTCAAACATCATTTCAGTGAAATTTCAACATCTTTTTTCAAACAAGTACACTCACAATAGAACTAGAGGTAAACATTTCATCCAGGGTAATTGAATTTCTAACATCAATTTCTTTAACGTATTGTTTTATAGTTCTCATTTTTTACCCTACCTGAGGAAAAAGGCCCAACAGGTCTATTGCCAATTCATTTCCAATTCTTTTCCTATACTTTTTTACCACATGAAAAGTAAAATGTGTAACTCTATCACTATCAATGCACTATCAATGCATATACTATATATATATTCCAATATTAACTTCACAGTCATTTGTGCTCTCTCCCACACAGAAAAGTTTCCAGCCACCCAGTCAAATATTCAACAATCACCAACAGATATTTCAAAAGCTTCAAAATGGCCAAATAGCCAAATCTCTTCCTCCTTCAAAATTATACACATTTACACACAATATATACATTTTCTACTCACTTGCATAACTATCATGTACATACTTCTACAAATATATTTTCTCTTCACAAAAGCCACAAATACTTGTGTTCCCTAATGAGTATCCTCATGTAACTTCTCTATTATGTCTCTCAGAATAGGCTTATTAACTATCTGCAATCCATTCTCTATTAACCACTTCCAATCTACATACTCTACATCTCTAACATCATCTGTTTCTCATTTTCATCAGTGAAACCTGGTTTTACATCCCATTCTAAAACAGGAACTAAAACCATTATCTTCTCTCTCATACATGCATCTATACATACATACATAAGCCTCATCTGCTAATCTATTTCCCCAAATCTCTTTGGAAAACTTTTCTTCTTATAAGCTTCAACATATATTATAGCCAAGTATTCTATAACTTCAGCCACTGCTTACCCACTTCATTTTCTAGAAGTTACAAAGCTTGTACTAAAGCAAACACTTCACACACCTAAGCAAAATACTTAACAGATAAGCATTCTCTACTTTGAGAAGATCCATCAATAAACAAATTAATACCTCCCTCTACTGGGCTATCTTCCAAATCCTCTCTCACCTTTGTCTGTAAATCTAGAACTTCAATAGAATCATGTGTTATGACTCCCCTTCGAAATTCAAATGGACAAAACAGAAAGCAGCCGTTTCACAATTAAATCAAACAGAAAGAAGTCTTACAAGATAACGGCTGGCAGAAACCACAGCATAAATCTTTACTCTGTCCGGCAAACCAGTCCTGGCAATAAATCTCCAGCCTCAGAGCTTCTTGCTGTAATGTCTTCACTCAAATAGTTATTTTGTTCCTGGCAAAATGTACCAGCCCAGCTGTGTCCTTTTATACTCATTGAGGCAACATGCTAATTTACTGACTTGCTCTTCTCATTCGTTCCAGCTGATTTTGCCTTTTCAACCGTCTTCTATTTTTTACATTTAACCACAAATTTTCCAAGTTCTCATCTCCACTAGAAGACTCTCTCAAAACTTCCCTGTCAGCCATTCCTGGCTGTTGATCAGATAAGGAACCAGAGGAGGTCAAAGGTCCTGACAATTCTAATACATCAGGTCTGTCGTCCTTTGTCACGTCCCTCTCCTCATCCTGGTTATCAGTCCAATCACTAAGCCAGGCCGGCTCATACTGTTCTGCCATGACCTCTTCACTTGAACACATATCAATCACAGGAGCTGAATCCAAGCCCGGAGCCACAGCAATCATGTATAATTCTATATCTTACCATCAGGTTTCCCCATCAGGTTACCCTACACGTAATATAAGTATATTGTATGGTAACATCGCAGGCTCAATTAGCCCATCCCCTAACAGGGACTCTATCATTGGCTTCAACCCACATTTCCCTTCCAGGATAATATCACATTGCTTCCACCTCACTAACTCAATATCACCTCCCAGGTGCAATATTCAAACCACTTCTATTCTCTTTCACTTCCCACACTATGAGATCTATAAATCTCTCCTGTTCATCAGTCAATAAATGAACAGTACACTTATCTTCAGAAAGATAAACTCACAACAACCTAATAGGTACAAACTCCTGGCTAGCTCACCAAAATTATGAGAAGTACATAAAAATGAATCAACAGACTTTTGATAATCTGATCCATAGGATGCTTTATTAAGGAAAATACTGCAGTATGGACTCCCTGGCTCCAAAACCATTTAGTGAATACAGCTTAGGTTTATCAAATCACATGGTCACATAACATTTCCTGTTTCCCATATATGGATGTTATACAATGCTTTCATAAGAAAGTTTCAACCTTTCATGGACAACTCCCAACATTCTCATTATAGTCAGATTTCCTGTTATTCAAATTCCAGAAAATTATAAGAAAGCCATTAATATCTCCTAATGTGACATCTAATGTCAGAGCGTCCCAGCACATACCCCTAACTTATGCCAAGTACATAGTTTTGCAATCTTGTATTATTTCTAGCAGAAAACACATTACATAATGTTCTGAGCTTTAAAAGTTCAGACTGCGAACACAAAATGGCTTCAGTTAGGCTCTTCACATTCTCAGGTGTAATAACCAAATTTTCACCTATAACATAAAGGAAATAATGATTGTTTAGGCTGAAAAATTTGGGTATGGAGTTGTCTCCTTGACAAATGGTAGAAACTGTGTGATAGAAATGTTAAATTGACTATGTCAACTGCATATAAAGAAAATTTGTTTAAAATGTTCTATAAATGACATCTTAAACCAAGATTGGTGAAAATGTATAAGGGTAGATCTGCTAAATGTTGGAAATGTAATTAAACACCTGGCTCATATTACCATATGTGGTGGACATGTCCCCAATGCCTCCCCACCCAAATGGATGAAAATACTTACCTGGTTGGAAAAAAAAAGATAAAACAGCATATAGACATGAAACCAGAAATCTTTTTATTTGGCATTCTGCTGGAAAAATATGATAAAGAGACTATACACTTGGTTTTACATGTATTAACTGCAGCTAGAACTGTATATGCTTCATACTGTACCTATACAGAAAATAGAGATCAGTTGACAAATCTATTACACTTAATGTTTAATGTTTAGTATTAAATTTGATATTAATATTCCACTGAGAAAAATGAGAAAAAAATTACTATTCTACTAAATAAGAACTAAAGATTTCAAAGGAGAAGAAAAAGAAAGAAAGAAATGTTTCATTTATTAAGAGTTTCTCTTAATGAGTTGTTCCCTGTTGTTTAGCTCTGGCTTAAAAATAATTATGTAACATTTGGGGAAATAAATGCAGCCCAGCAATCCAGCACTGGAAGCCAAAATAGAGAAAACCTCCACAGCCACCATGTATTTGCCTTTGGTACTCAGGTAGGATGGAACAAAAGAGAGCCACACACTGCAGAAGATCAGCATGCTAAATGTGAGACATTTGGCTTCATTGAAACTACTGGGGAGCTTCCTGGAGAAAAAAGCTACTGTGAAACTGGCAGCTGCCAGAAAGCCCATGTAGCCAAGAACACAGTAGAACATGGTAGCTGAACCTTCATTGCACTGCATTATCATTTCCTCAATTTCTGAATGGTTATCAACATCAGTGAAAGGGGGATATGTGAAGAGCCACACCATACAGATACTTGCTTGAATCAGGGAACAAGTCAGAACAATGCAGGTGGTCAGGCCTCTGCCCACCCATTTCCTCATTCTGGATCCTGGCTTGGTGGCCATGAAAGCCAGAATCACAGTGATGGTTTTTGCCAACACAGAAGACACAGCCACTGAGAAGACCATGCCAAAGCTACTTTGTCGGAAGAGACATATTATATGACTTGGTGCAACAAGGAACTGCAGTGAGCAAAGGAAGCAGAGGAGGAGGGAGATGAGCAAAACGTAGGTGAGGTTTCGGTTATTGGCCTTGACAATGGGAGTATGGTGATACTTCAAAAACGTTGACAACACCAATATTGTGCAAAAAGAAAAAAAGAGAGCCAGAATAACTAGACTTCTTCCCATTGGTTCCGCATAGGATAAGAAAGACATTCTCTTTGGAAGACATGAATCTTGGTCTTTGCTTGGATATTGGTCTGCTGGACATTCAGAACAGTCATCCATATCTGTAAGAGTTTTTAAAAAATCTTTTTATTC